TTTACAGTCGGGATCATTAATATTTACGCCCCCAACATTTGCATAACGTATACCAGCCCATGTTCTAGGCCAGCCGGACCTGCACAACCGAATCATCGATGCAGTGTTGCCAATAGGGCTGCCACTAACGACTATTTTTATTTCGATTAATCTATCGACTAATTTATCGATTAATCTAAGCGATTAATTTCCCGCAAAAAAAAAAATCAACAATTTTACTTCAGAATATTTTATTCAACTATATTTCATTAAACCAAATGAAATCCAAAAGTAAAAAAAAAAGTGCAACAAAGTGCAAAAAGCAAGTGTCCATCTCATAGTCCAAATCACTGCGATAAATAAATAAAAATAAACTGAAATTATTTCAAATCTTTTGCAATTACGATAAGATAAAGATATCACTGACCCTAAACTGCAACACCCTACTTTATTAACTTTCTAAAGTGTCAAAAAAAGTGGAAAAGACAAGTCCAAAAATGCTTATAACAGCTGGATCTGGCAACACAGAGGCTGTGTCCGTGCCCTCACTCACAACTCTCTCTCAAGCCTCGTTCACTCCGCCAGTGTATCGCAGCGATCATGTTCATACCACGGACGCTAAACATTCTTGCAAAATCTCTCAAAATCTGTATCTTCATCTAATACAGGCTCAAACATATAAGGTTGGATGCCTAATCTCTCCATCATTCACGCCGGACAGTAGAGATCTGTTTGCTGTGTGAGCTACGCCCTTACCGAAGCCACATACCTTCTATGTAGATATCAAAGAACAATTTAAAATATTGTATCAATGCATTCTATGGCACCTTTAATTCTGAGTTTACATTTTGCAAATTTTTTTTTCCGCAATGGATTTTTTTTTATTCCACTGCAGAAACAAGTTTCCATATTGTTGTCAAATGACCACAATTTTAATCAACTTTTAATCTAATTTCTTGGCTTTTGGGAGTTAATATCAGGTCAAGTGCAGTTAGGGCTGTGCAAAAAATCGAATGCGATTTTCATGCGATTCATTGCCGATTTTGAACGCGATTTTGTGTAGCTTGTCAGTGAACTACGGCTCTCTGTAGTAAATGCCGCTCCATCTGATAGCACGTGCTGGAGATTTACTACTAATCACAGGAGCGGCTTTACTGACGAGATGCGCATGAAAATCGCATTCGATTTTTTGCACAGCCCTAAGTGCAGTACATCATGGGATAGCATATATACATTCTGTGTACATTATACATACAAACACACACTCACTGAGTCTTGCTGGTCTTTCTGGATGTGTGGGCTGTCTGTCTCCATGCTGTCCTCCTGAACGTCACCTCTCTGTATCGTGTGACGTGTGCGGTCAATCAACGTCAGGGCCTCGTCCTGAACCATCTCACACACACACAACAGCAGCTGGGGAAGCTGGGTAATCTCTCCTCCTGAACCAGTAAATGTTAAACAATTGTTAAAACAGAACAAACAATATGCACACAGTTGGTGTAATATGTTATCCCCAAACAAACATGCAGACTGACCGTTGAGTCCTTGTATCTGCAGGGCTAAGATGAGAGCTGACAGGAGTTTGGCTTTGGTTCGGTCCGTGAGCTGTTGTTCAGCATGTAGAACGCTTTCCATCATCAGAGACAGGGGCGGCAGTAGAGCTGGGGCGGACACCAACACACTGACACAAACCACATCAGCAATATTACTTAACATGCTCCTTTGAAGAGTTTTTAATATTATATAGACACTACTAACATTCAAAACACCCTTCCCAGTTCATCATGACCTTTTAGTTAATTGTTTTTGTAGCTTAACTTCAGTAAACATTTAAAATTATATTAAAACAAAACTAAAAACGACAAGAACGCAACAAAAACTTTAAAATCAAATAGAAATAGGAAATTATTTATATGTGTGTGTATATGTGTGTGTGTGTGTGTGTGTAAAATAGCATGATACTAAAATAACATGGGTGTAAATGTGGGCATGTTTTAAATTTTTTTATTAATTTTTCTTTTTGTATTTTCCCTTTTTATTTTAATTTTAAATTAATTTATTTTTTGGTGTTTTTGTCATTTTTATTAGTTACTATTTTTTATGTCTGTCAGTATAGTTCTTATTATTTTCATTTCAGTTTTACTTTTAGTTATTTTAGTACATCAAGTTAAACTAAATGAAAATGATACGTTGCTTTGGAAACTAGCTGTCAAAAGTTATAAATACATTTTTTTTTTTTTATATATATATATTTCATTTCAGTTAACATTTATTTTAAGTAACAAAATTTGTATTTTTTTATGGTTTCAGTTTTAGTTTAGTATAACCTTGACGTTTCTATTCATTTCTATTTCAGAGACGTTTCTATTAATTTCACACGTGAAGCTGAGCCAATCATTTACAAAAACACCCACCTTTTCCACTGTTTGAGGAGGATGAGGAGCAGCGTGACCATCGATTGCTTCTATTGTCCTCATTTGTTAGTCGCCTTGGATAAAAGCGTTTGCTAAATAACAAAATATAAATTTAAAGTAAATGTAAATAACAAAACTAAATTGAAATTTTAAAACAAGCCTCAAATCAAATAAGTAACACAAATAAAAAAAATCTCTTCATATAAACAAAATAAGGCTTTGTCTGTGCTCTTTCCATTTAAAATGGATTTTAATCTTGATCCAAACAAAGATGCTGCATACATGGAACATGAGGAGTTTTTAATCTAAATTAGGTTGTATAATTTCGAAATTTGAAGCAAAAATAGAATGATTTGACTTTAGTTTTGTGAAACTATACATAACAAATATCTGCATGAAAGCTGAGCTGAATGAGACGCAGATTCACTCTCTGCCAGCAGGTGGCGCTTAAACCGTTCCTTGGTTTCCGCTGTAAACAAAGCAGCGCTGCACTTATTAACTTTAATATGCAGAGCTCCAGACTGCGACCGCATTGGTCAACTCATAAGCGCTTCAACTTCTGTTGCATATGAGAAACATCAAAGGGCAAACGAAACTGAAAGCATAACGAAACTTGGAGAGTATACTCGCCGCGTCAGCACAAGCGCGAAGCTCTGAGCAGCAAAAATGACGCGCATATTGAGGAAACGATGGATGGTTTTCAAGCGAAAGAGGCAAGATGAAAAGAAAAAATACCATCTAAACTTTTCTAAAGACAGTAAGTTCCCCTCAGACATACATTCATATAAACTCCTACTCCTAACTGAATCACGATTTGTTTAGCATCTCAACCAATTTGCATCGTCACATATTTAAATCGATTTTCAACCGGCTCGCGGTTAATCGTTACATCCCTATATTAGATTCTTTACAAAAATGTTTGAAAACAGCAGCTTCATCATAATTATGACAGAATTATTAGAATTTGCATTTATCAGGAAGCCTCTGAATAATGGGTTGGACAACAGGGACCTTTGAGCAAAAAAGCCTGAGAAGCACTGCCCAACTGCGTCATGTGTGAGGGACTCACTTGGTCCTGAGCACAGAGAGCGCGCTGTCCCGTCTGTCCTGCCAGAGTGCGTGGAGGAAGGCCAGTGCCGCCCTGTGCAGGAGTGGAGGACACCAGTACTTCCCCTGCTGCTTAGAGTCCAACAACTCCAACACCACTGACAAACAGCTCCACTCTCCCAGAGAAAACTCCTACAAACCAGACGGTCACATACTGCTCTGAATCATTCACCATCGCACACTAACTCTATGAGCATTTCCGTGACCTCTGACCTTTGCTTTGGTCTCCAGGTTGAGGAAGAGCTCAATGAGTCCAGGTTGTGTTTCCACAGCCACGGTGAGGAACTCCAGTATGGTGACTTTAATACGCATGTCTTCAGTTCTGCTCTGTAGTCGCGTCAGAAACGCATCTCTGATCGCAGCGGCATCACTGCCCAGACAAGCGTACACAGACATGGGAGCCACCTGAACATAGCACACACAATACACATTTCTTATATCATGGTGGGACTTCTACTGTTATTAAATTAACTATAACATAATTACCATAACAATTGAATCACTATAAGACATCAACCAAGATATTTAATGACTGATACTGTTTATATTGAACAGTGAAAGACAAAATAAATAAATAGTGTTATTTTAAGGTTATTTATATACTTTAGAATATTTATTAATAGTTTGAATTAGCTTTTATTTTTATATTTTCATTTTTTAATTTGTGTAAATTTATTCAAGTTTTAGTAATTTTGTTGTGCTTTTGACATTTTTTCTATTTCTATTTAGCTTTTATTTTTATTTCAGCTTTAGTTTTTTTGTTTGTTTTAGTAATGATTACTAGTAATCATTTTTTTAGTAATGAATATATTGAACAGTGTAAGTATTAAATAAAACCAATGGTCAAACCCATTATTGGATTGTCTCTACTATAAATGTATTAAAACTAGTGTTATTTTAGTATTATTTTCATACATTATAGTATTTATTAATATTTTAATTATCTCTTATTTTTATACTTTCAGTTTTTAATTTAGCTTAAATTAGGTCTAAGTTTTAGTAAATTTGTTATGTGAAATATTTTCAATATTTTTCAGCTTTAGTAACGATTAATTTTTTAGCAGTGATTATACTGAACAGTTGGAGTATTAAAATCGATAGTCAAACCAACTACTGGTTTCCCTCTACTAAAAAGTTAAAACAGTGTTACTTTAGTATATTATATATATATATATATATATATATATATAATATACATATATATATATATATATATATATATATATATATACACATACATACACATATACACACACATACATATAGATAGATATGTATAAGATTTTAAAGAGCTGAATTTTCAGCATCATTACTCCAGTCTTCAGTGTCACATGATCCTTCAGAAATCATTCTAATATTCTGATTTATTATCAGCGCTGGAAACTGTTGTGCTGCTTAATATTTTTTTGGAACCTGTGATACTTTTTTTCAGGATTCTTTGATGAATAAAAAGTTAAAAAGAAGAGCATTTATTTAAAATAGCAATCTTTTCTAACAATATACACTACCGTTCAAAAGTTTGGGGTCAATCAATTTTTATTCTTTCTTTTTTTGAAAGAAATTAAAACTTTTATTCAGCAAGGATGTGTTAAATTGATAAGTGATAGCAAAGATTTATATTGTTAGAAAAGATTTATATTTTGAATAAATGCTGTTCTTTTTAACTTTTTATTCATCAAAGAATCCTGAAAAAAATATTTGGCAGCAAAACTGTTGCCAACATTGATAATTCTAATAATAAATCAGCATATTAGAATGATTTCTGAAGGATCATGTGACACTTTAGACTGGAGTAATGGCTGATGAAAATGCAGCTTTGCATCACAGAAATAAATTATACTTTAAAGTATATTAAAATAGCAACCATTATTTTATATTGTAATAACATTTTGCAAGATTAGTGTTTTTTTTTTCTGTATTTTTGATAAAATAAATGCAGTCTTGAGCATAAGAGACTTTTTTTAAAAACATTACAAGTCTTACTGCTCCCAAACTTTTGAACAGCAGTGTGTGTGTGTATATATATATATATATATTATTTATATACAATTAAAGTATTTCTTAATATTCTGAATAATTTTTATTTTTATATTTTCAGGGTTATTTATTTATTTATTTTTTTAAGTAATTTTATGTGCTTGACATTTTTATTAGTTTTGATTTCGGTTATACATTTTTTTTTTCGTCATCTAATATTTTTATTTCAAATTCATTCCAATTAACAAAAATGTTACAATTTTTAACAGTTTTAGTTAACAATAACAACACTCACTCAAACCCCAAAGTTCAGGCATTTTACATGTAAAACTACATTATTTAGTCCCTTTATAAAGCTGTTTTCCACATGAAGACCACAACAACGTGTCCAGCATTACCATGGCGAGTCTCTTCAGCAGCTGTATAGCAAGTCGTGGCAGCGCTGGGTCGTGCTTGTGGTAGATATACTTTGCCAGCACAGCGATCAGGTTGTTGCCATGACCACCTGCAAGAAAAAAAAAAAAACACTTGCATGATCACTAGACATGACAAATCTATGGGAAAGGTTAAGTATTTATTATAGTAAGCAATCCCTGACAGAACAGTCTAATATTTCACATCTACCATGCGCTGAAGTGTGTGTACTAACCGTGCTGTGTCAGCGCTTGCTCCAGAGGTGAGGCCGTATCAGACTGCGGTTTGAGTCGGATCACATTGTTGGTGACTGAGAAAGCCAACTTCACAGTCTGGATCAGAACCTGACCAGGTCCCTCAGACCCACCACTGCAGACAGACACACAAACTCAAACCCACTGACTCATGTAAAGAGGATGAGGAGACTGAAGCCATATTAAAAGCTCAATCGCGTACCTGCTGGGCTGTGCTGTGAGCACCATGTTGATAGTGTCCACTCCCACACCCATGATGTTAACCACCGCCTGTCCTGCCTCTGTGTTGGCCAGACTGTAGATAGACAACGACTGCAGACTGGGGGCGCTGCAGAGGTCACACATCAAGTATGTGAGAACCAAACGAAGACCACATGAAATAAATGACAATGAAATATCATCTGCATCCTCTTACCTGCCCTCTGACTCCCCCTCCTGACTCAGATTAAGAATAGCATGAACCAGCTCTAGAATCAAGCAACCTGACAGAGAACAGAGAGTAGAGAGTGTGTTAAGCAAATACCAGTAAATTTAAGAGAAACTGAGAATTTCAGATAATAATGTTGTTCGAGTTGCTCACCGATCCTCTCTCGCACTCCATAGGTGTTGTAGCGCCATTTATGGTATGCAGGCAGCATTTCTTTCAGAACCAGCAGCACACATGGGATGAGTCCTCTGCTCTGAGTACTGCCCAACTGACCCTGAAAACACACACACACATTAAAATTACTTAATATCCACCAATGTAGTAAGGCTGCATGACTTGGTGGGGGAAAAAAATCTAATTGCAATAAAAAAATAAATTAAAAAAAAGGTCCAGGTTTGTTGTGCTTATTCGTGGGGCTGCGAAATTTGGCCAAAAATGTTGTTATATTATTTTTACTAAATAAAATAAACCAAAATATTACAGTTGTAACATTATGTTATAAAATAAAAAATACAGAAGAAAAAAAAAGTCTGATAAAAAAAAATGTATATATTACATTAAATATTACTATTAGTTTTTCTATTGTATATATAAATTATTTATGTAATGATGTATTATTAAATAATTTATGAAATAATAATTATTATTATTACTATTTAGAGTACAAATTAAATTAAATTAATTACAATAATAATATTTATGGCTGTCTTAAATCATTTTCAAACATTAAACTGAGACACTAAAACAGCTGATCACGAGCTGCTCGTGTGTAAAACAGTGCCACGCTTTACTCTGAAACATGCAGTAATACATTTATTTAATTGCAGCCTTTGCAAGCAATTTGATAATCATGCAAGCAACATTGTGAATTTGGTTTCATTTCAATTAATCATGCAGCCTTACAATGTAGTCTGTGCATTGTAGTGATACGTGGTTAGCTAATACTTGGTCATTTTGACATGATTGGTCATAACGGATGATAAATGCATTACCTTGACGAGTGTGGTCACTAATCTTAAAAAGGCAATGGTCACACTGTACTCTCCTCTGGGCTGTTCAATCAATACCAGCAGGTTGCCATAGTTACCCGCCTTCATGCCCTCTGCACTGAAACACACACACACACCAAACATGTCATTCTTCAGGTTTCTCTGACTTTAACAGGTGAATATGATGCTGTTGTTGTTCACTAGTTCTGTATGTGTGTGTGTATCACCTGATGGTCTGTGCCATGTTAGTCAGAGGGGTGGAGGCGAACGGAAGGAAGCCGGTGTGATGCAGACTGGACCAAACCTGTATCAGGAGCAAAGGCTGTTTAGTCTTAGATCATCACTTCATGTAACCCTGACTTAATATAACTGTGAACATTTACCTTCCCAGGCTGCCGAGCAGCCAGAGCGATAAGGCAGTTGACGCAGGAAGTGATCACATTTACCGGAGGGTTAATAAAGGAGGTCAACCTATAACACGAATCACAACCTCTCAATTTCATTAATAATCAGTGTTTACTGTTTGGTCTTTATGTTTACATGTGCACTTCACCTCTGTAGCAGCATGTAGATCCGTGATGTGAGCGGCAGCAGACAGTCAGACACTGTCCAATCTGTGCTGATGATCTTATGAACCAGATCCAAGATGGGCTTCACTCGCTCACAGTGTGCCAACACATCTATTTGCCCGAGACAGATGTCAATAGCAGGTAAACAGGCGGCAAAATTTTAACAAAATGTAAACATCTTCAAATGCATAGGGCTCTATGATTTCCACATTGTATCCAGTCATAAAAATTTACAGTATATGTAATGGCAAATTCTGGATAAATAAATGCAAAGTAGGGCTGTACACTTAATCAAATCTTGATATGGACTATTGACAATAAACCTCTGTTGTGTAGCACTTGTTTGCTAAACAAATAAAAGCAATTGTTACATTTTCATTTGATTACATTTTAAAAGATGAATTAAATTGTTAATGTTTTATATCATTAAATAAAAAATACAGAAAAAATAAAACAGACAGCACAGAATTTCTGAAAAAAAATTTAACATTTCTTAAGGCCCCATTATTGTATTAATTTTATGAAATTATTAAAACGTTGAAGTTTCATGAATTAAATTAACATTCTTTCTGATTATTAATTAAACCATTTACTTTAATAATTAAAACAGAATACATAAAAATTTAAAAGGAAAACAGAATTTGACAAAAATAAATCTTAAATTAAAATTCAAACCTAAAAATGTAATTATAAATAAACTTGTTAAATTTGTACAAGTTTCATGATTTCAAATAATTAGACATGCTTTATGATCACTAAAATTTCCTTTAATCATTAAATTGGAATCCAGAGACATTACCAAAAAAAAGAATTTGGGGGAAAAAATAAAACTTTTCATAGGGTCCTAAAAATGTCATTATAAATAAATTGTTACATTTGTATAAGTTTCATGATTTCAATTAATTAGACATGCTTTTTGATTACTAAAATTAAATGTAATCATTAAGACAGAATTTAGAAAAATTCAAATGCAAAAAAAAATTTTAACAGGAGAATTGGGGGGGGGTGAATAGGGCCCTAAATGCACGTAAGTTTTGAGTGTTCGTACCTGCAGTAGAAACGACGTGCAGCAGCATCTCAATCTCACAGGTGAAGAGAGTCCATGAGCTATAGGAATATTCCCAGCGCACCAGGAAACCCTGTTCACCCACAGACAGCTGCTTTCCTTCACACACCTGTCCGAAACATCCCTGAGGCATCTGCAGGTTGGTCTGACCCACCCCTGAACATACAGATAACACGAGAGAAAATGTCAAAAAGACATATGTTTTCATACGCAGATGCAATCAGGCAAAGAGACGCCAAAACACAGGAACACATGTTTTCAGCACTGACCCAGAGGGTAGAGGAGTTTAGGAGTCTGTCTCCTCCACAGAGTGCCATCCTCTCTGGAGATCACATCGTTGGGTTTGTGCTTATAGGCCTCAGTGTAGAACGACATCTTATCTAAAAAGGTGTACACCTGAGAGACAGACCATGAAATGCCCACGAGATCTAAATGATTGTGTAGAAGTGTGCATGTACATATATATGATGTTAGAAAATGTTAAGAGGGCATTTTTTTACTTTGTAGTTTTACCTTCTTAGCTGTAGATTTGTCAGACAGCAGTGCAGTGAGCAGCTGTAGTAAAGGTCCAGTCTTATATGGAAACAGACCCACTGTACTGTCCAGAATCACACCGAGACCCATGTTTGGATTCTGTAGGGCACAACCAGAGGTCAAAGGTCAAATCACAGACATTTTAAATAAAACACAGAGAATCTACAAATAGTGGTGTTTTATTTAATGTGCACCAATTGTTTTGCTCACCGACTCCCAGAAAAGCTCAGCCAGACTCGGAGCAGCAAGAACTTCACATGCTGCATTGATCAGATGCTACAGACAGAATAATTACCAGACTTATCCAAAATGAATGCGTAATTTATTATTAATGAATACCAGTAACACGATATTAAGTTTTGATCTCTGTCTGTTGGTTTGTGTATTTCTGTACCTGTTGGCTGCCGAGTGTTTCTTCTTCAAAAGAGGTGATGACAAAAGACAGGAGACCATATATACACATCCGTGCAGTGCTTGCTGTACACTAAAATGAGACAGAGACATGTGACAGTATGCATAAAGGTCCACGTCACCACTGGAGAAAGATTTTTTTAATCTAAGCAATTTGATAGAACACTGTTCTTACGTTATTTCCAGTGTTGCCGAGTGCTTGCAGCATGTTGGTGAGGTACTGAAAGACTCCGAGCTGCAGCGTCGTGTGTCCTAGACGTCTGATCACAGAGCTCACTTCCTCTGGACGCAGTGTGTGTCGCAGCAGAACCCAGGCCAAGAGAACCGGCCCATGGTGAGAGATGTCACCAAATGTCAACAGCATCTGATCCACTTCCTGCACACACACAACAGTTGATAAACAAAAAAACAAATCCTCAACATTCTAAGTAAAACAAAATTGCTCATCCATTCAGATTTTAGAGCCAGAGTTATCAATTTTTACAAAAGTTAATTTAGTCTTAATATGCAATTTCATTCTAAAGTTTGGGGTCAGCAAGATTTTTTGAATACTTTTATTCAGCAAGGATGCATTAAATTGATCAAAAGTGACAGTAAAGACATTTGTAATATTACAAAAGATTTTTTTTTCAAACAAAAGCTGTTCTTTTGAACTTTCGATTCATCAAAGAATCCCAAAAAAAGTATCACAGTTTCCACAAAAATATGAAGCACCACAACTGTTCTCAACATTGATAATGAGAAAAAATATTTCTGGAGCAGCAAATCAGCATATTAGAATGATTTCTGAAGGATCATGCGACACTGAAGATGATGCTGAAAATTCAGCCCTGATCACAGAAATAAATTACATTTTAAATTATATTCGAATAGAAAACAGTTATTTTAAAATGCAATAATATTTCACAATATTACTGTACTTCTGATCAAATGAATGCAGTCTTGGTGAGTATAAGAGGGTTCCTCAACATCTGAATGGCAGTGTATGTTCAATACCTTGCAAATATCCTCCTGTTGGTCATAAAACTGATGCTGTTCGGTTCTATCTTCTAGAGCACATTTATGCAGAAAGTCGATATCCATCCCCTCCACAAGAATCAAAGAACTGAAATAGCTGTCAAGAGGATGACAATTCAGATATTATAAAACATTGTTTGCGGTTGTATGAGAGGAAAAAGATCAGGTGACTGCATGTTCTGACCCAATGCGTTCAACCAGCGCGTCCATGCTCTTGTCCACGAGGTGTCGATTGGTCTGCCGCTGTCCAAAGCCCTGCTCCTTAAATAGCCGTGTGAAGGTGGAAAGGTCATTGGGCGGCATCTCGAAGTATGCGTAATACAGGAACAAGATCTCCAGCAGCAGGGCCTGTTCTTTCAGACACTGCACAAACCAGTGGGACACCTGCCTCTCCGTCTACACAGAGATCAACAGATCCTGAGTCAAATTCTACAGGTGATGCTGCTCTAAACACAATCATATCATCTTCTCACCATCAGGTTTCCATGCGTCTCCCATGTTGGAGCTTCTGATTTGGACACCGACTCAAACTGCCGCCTGTAGTTGGACACCAGATCTTTCTCCAGTTTACTAACACAGTTGGAGTACTCTGCCTGAAAAAAAGGATGTATTAAAATCATTTGGTTTCTGACTGTCTAACAGAATAGCTGATCTTTTATTTACCCTGTATGGATGTCTCTCATCCTGGAAGTACGTGAGGAGGTGGAGAACGCAGCGCAGAACGCACAGTCTCTCTTCATAGTAGTAATCTGCTATCTGTACAACACAATTTCAATGTGTCACATTTCAATATATTTTAGAGTCATTTTTAGTGTTGAAGCAATATTTAGTTTCAAACCTTCAGCAGCAGAGCTTGACTCTGTCTCTCATCCTGCAGCACAGCCTGATGGGAACAAAATGAGGATTATTTATTTATTCACACAACCTGGCTCTCGTCATGTTCGTGCACACTTCAGCTGTACATGCGTGTACCACATGAAGCCGAGCTCACCTTGAGTGTGTTTCGTGTGCCCCTGTAGTCCTCCTGAAGGTAACACTGAAGAATCTGCACGCTTTGCTGTTCATCCAAACCCTGACATGAAAAACACACACACACACACAAATATTTGTCCACTCCTGAAGTCTCAATCCAGTTAGTCTTACTTAGCCAGTATGTATGAATCAAATAAGAGAGAGTGCAATGTTTTCAAAAACCAAGAGAGACATCATCCTAGAAAGCATTTTGGGTAAAAGCATGCATATGACAAACAAAATCAATTGCTGCACTTTAAGTTGTGGTCAAAGTAAGCAGCCAACTAGGTTTAAAAATACATCCAACGTGCCCAGACACTCACCAGCAGTTTGCTGATCCTGAGTCCGAAGTCTTTGAGAGCTTGTGGTGTGTCTTTATCTGCTTTCAGCTTGTCTGCGGCCGATGTGCTGCACATAACATTATCACTTACTACATACTCAACAACAGCAAAAAGACAAATTTCATGAGGTATGTTTACATACACTAATTTTAGTGTTATTTTACTATCGCATATACTATACATTTTGAATTAATCATTTTAATTGTAGTTTCATTTAGTACTTCATCTTAAACTAAATGAGAAATGCTGCCTTGGCAAGTAGCCAAAATATTTTTATGGTTTTAGTTAATGATAATACCCTGACTAATTATCATCAAGAAATGAATCAGATTCCAGATTCTGAAAAGGCTATTTATGTAAACCTAAAATTTGCAATCCAATCTGCATATTTGTTTTTTTCCATGCACATTATATGTATTCTGAACAAAACTGGATGTGCGCAACAGGTATACCACTGAGTATGTATATCATTAAATAATATCTCCCTAGCTTGATAAAGCCAAACTCTTCTTTGTGTTCAGGTTATTTATTTTTACATCTTACATGTTTGTACATTTTTTAATGTTGTGTTACCTGGGTGGTTTGTAGAAGGACAGACCCTGCAGCAGTCTCTCCCAGTTCCGATCCAATTCAGCCTCGATTTGGGCCTGCAGGATCACACAAGAAAATCATTATTGATGGAGACAGGAACTCACCGAGATACACTGTAAAAGGATACCTCATCAAAGGTCATCACATCAGTACAGTTTAAGAATAAAACCGCTTTATTAATAGTGTTTCTTCACAGAACTCTCTCAAATGAACCATTTTTTGTTTATACACAGCTGTCCAATTAAATCTGTGTACTTATGTTGTTATTAAATACTTCAGAAATGCTTGGTCTGGGTACTAACCGGTTCTCGAAGTGCAGATCTGCCCAGCAAGATAGTCCATAAATCTCGGCTGCTCCTAAATAAAAGTATTTAAATGTGACATTATTATGCTTCCAGAACTGATAATATAAAGGCAGTGTCATTATGGTGTTTATAAGTCCATCCATACATACACTACTTACATAGGAAGTTCACATAAAACTTTTTTTTTTTTTTTTACATCAAATCATATTCATGAAATAAGCCACTGATTTTCAACTAAAAAACCGTTTTAGAACAATTCGGTACAGCTCTTAACAGCGCAATTACTTATTTTTATACATTTTATAAACTACATACATACACAGTCAAGTACCCTGTATAGATGTATAATAAGATACATATATACACAAACAATGAAACTCATTCATCACTTCAAACTCCTATAATTCGTTCTCACCAAGACAGTCAAATCAAGAGGAACATTTGCACAATTAATCAATGTTATGATGTTAATTTCGTATAATGTTGAAGAAGTTGACGGTTGCTTAAAAGCTGTTATAAACTGCAAATTATCATTTGAATTTCAGTCGCGCGGGTCTGTCAGCCAGAAACAGCACGTCTAAGACATATCACCCACTCATATTATGGCTAAATACCAGATATAAAATATCTACACATTATCCAACTACAAATTTCGTTGTAGCTCGTTCTGAACAACCTTTGTAAGTTTGGCTTTCTTCCAATTTACCTGACACACAGCTCCGAGGCCGCCATCTTCACCCGGATCACGTGACTATTAACACAAACGAGCGCTCTCCTATCACGTGACTTAATGAAATCCTATAATACATATATATTAATACAATAATTATTTTAAAACATTTTAACACGTAAATTCGCAATATTAAAATGTTATAATTTTAAAAAATATATTTGTTTTGACATTAGCCACGTGATTATTCTGACACCACGTGATCCGGTTGTCCTATCTCTACAGCACGAGTCACAGCAAAACATTGGGAATATTCTTTTGTCCTAGAACCAAGCGTTAAATCGCAGGAAAAAAGGGTAAGATGAATCGTTATTTGCTGTAATTTGATATTTCTGCGTTTATTTACTGTGCAGGGTGTTTAATGAACAGCTGGTGTTGCAGTGAATGAGCTGTCATTTCTGCTGAAGAGCCCATCATCACCCTCTCTATCTGTAACAAAACCCTATAAAATAACATAAAACATCAGCATTGCGTTGGGATTTGTATTATAATTTAATATTAATACTGACAATTCCTTCGAATATATGTATAACATATATGCAATTGCATACTATCCATGTATTAATAAGCAAATGTGCTTGTAAGCAATAGAGACATCAAGGCTGTCAAACAATCACTATTATAATATTTTATGTCTAATAATACATTTATCGTTATTTACAAAAATGTAATTTGTATTAAGTAATATAAATACATTTTATGATTACCTAGAAATTGTATTGAATAAGATTGTGTTAAAAAATTATATTCTCTAATATACTATTTTCAGAGTAGCCTACTTATAAAATATTTATATTATATACACATTTATGTTATTGTTTTTGATACAGTATTTCTGGGTGCTTATAAAACCCTAATATTGCAAACACTAATATAATTTATTAAAGTATAGTGATACAGGCCAGGTTTTCTCTATTATTCGTATATACACTGAACAAAATTATAAACGCAACACTTTTGTTTTTGCCCTCACTAACACAGATTTAGACAGATTTGTGAACAATATTTGAGAGAAATAGGCCTTTTGTGTACATAGAAAAAGTCTTAGATCTTTGAGTTCAGCTCATGAAAAATGGGGGCAAAAACAAAAGTGTTGCGTTTATAATTTTGTTCAGTGTATATTCAATCACTGTAATGCCAGAGCATCCAGCCATTAAAAGCAGATCGTTGTACTTTCCCTGACAAAGTGACACTTTGTCCATTTTAACATTTTACCATGTTTAGAAATTGCTGGTATTGAGCGTTCAACAGTGCTAAAGTTCACAGTGTCTAGAGTTCAAGCGCCGTTGAGAAATTTGACATCCTTCTTTAGTTTTACAGTGAGAGAATAGAAGCTCTGGACAGTACGGATGTGTCTCAAAACCTAGTTAGCTCCCTATCTAGTATTTTAAGGGACGTCTATTGTGCTCAAAAATGCTGCCTAGGTAGGTTTTGAGCCACAGCCTGTCTGTAGGTGGCATCACATTGAATATAACATAACACTGAGTAAATCGATTTCTTTCTTTCAGAATTTTTACCATGATATAATGATGATTTGTGAAAAAAGAGCTAAGGCTGTAGTACCATGGAATAGTTCAGATGGTAACACCGTAGTATTTTGGCATATAACAAATTATACTACATGGTTAACATACTACATATTTGTAATTACCATGTAAATGGTAAATGGTATTTACATTGTACTCCAAGTTACTTAAAATAATACTATGAAATTACCATGGGTATATTTGCCAAAAAAGAATGATATAGCTATAGGACATATTCATATTAGCTTCAAAAAATTGTTTGTTTATTTTAGTTTATTATGTGTTTTTCTCTGGAGTAAAAAATAATAAATATGAAAATATTGTATTATTATATTTTGTTTATTTTAGTTTATGATGTGTTTTTGTTTGAAGAAAATACTGAAATTGAGAGAAAACATTATTAGAGTTGATTTATTTTAGTTTATTATGTGTTTTTGTTTGAAGAAAATACTGAAATTGAGAGAAAACATTATTAGAGTTGATTTATTTTAGTTTATTATGTGTTTTTGTTTGAAGAAAATACTGAAATTGAGAGAAAACATTATTAGAGTTGTTTTATTTTAGTTTATTATGTGTTTTTGTTTGGAGAAAAATACTAAATATGAAAAAAATGTATTATTATATTTTGTTTATTTTAGTTTATTGTGTTTTTGTTTGAAGAAAATACTAAAATTGAGAGAAAACATTATTAGAGTTGGTTTATTTTAGTTTATTATGTGTTTTTGCTTGGAAAAAATGCTAAAGAATGAGAAAAAAATATAGTATTACATTGTTTATTTTAGTTTGTGTTTTTGTGTGGAGAAAATGCTAAAAATTTGAGAAAATATAGCATTAAATTATGTTTATTACATTATGTTTTAGTTTGTTGTTTTTGTGTGGAGAAAAAAAATGCTAAAAACAGTAAGAGAAAGGATTTTATTTAGTGCTGTCAAACGATTAATCGCATCCAAAATAAAAGTTTTTGTTTACATAATATGTGTGTGTACTGTGTATATTTATTATGTATATATAAATACAAACACATGCATGTATATATTTAAGAAAAATGTTATGTTTATATATTAAATATATTTATATAAAATATAATTATATACATTTATAAATGTACTGTATATACATGTAAATATTTTCAAAATATATACATGCATGTGTGTGTATTTATATATACGTAATAAATATACACAGTACACATACATATATTATGTAAACAAAAACTTTTATTTTGGATGTGATTAATCACAATTAATTGTTTGACAGCATGAAAGAATATGAAATTATTATTATTTAAGCATTACATTTTTTTAAAGTTTTGTGGTTTGTCTAATGATATTTTGGTGTGTCTTTACCCAGGTCTAATCTGCCGTGTGCAGGAGAGCGAAAAGCGGACAATGTTTATGTGTTCGCCACCAGGAACATTCTGACAGACTGCCATATTCAAAGTCTCAAATTCCTGGAAACCTTTGTCACACATACGCCCCGCAATCATGCAGCTGGATCCAGTGCTGGTTGAATCCGCCGTGGTGGTCTCCATGGTGATCTGCATTCACTGTGCCGTGTGGAACCAGCTGTCCTGGTGCTGCATCGCTCTGGCCGTCCAGGGTTTTTACGTGCAGCACAAATGGGATCGGCTCATTCGGACCGGCGCCGCTGTCTTCCAGTTCCGGCCTTCGGCCAACAGCGGCGTGTTACCGGCCAGCATGGTGCTGCCGCTGCTGGGACTGGCTTTGAGGGGGCGCTGCATCGCTGTGGGGAATGTTTACATGGAGCGATTCGCAATGGTCATAACAGTGATCGGTATGATTTTGGCGCTGTTCCTATCGCTCATCGTGTTGGGAATCACACGCCCGGTGCCCACAAACACCTGTGTTATAGCCGGCATCGCCGGCAGTGCCATTCTGTACACAGTCAAGCAAACACTAACAGTCTCCGAGGTGATCGAAGTCTTGGAGGTGTTGCTTATTTTTGTATATCTAAGCTTAATCCTCTTGTACCTCCTCCCACGCTGCTTCACTCCCGGAGAGGCCCTCCTCATCCTCGGCGGGATCAGTTTCATCATCAACCAGCTCATCAAACGCTCTCTGGCCTCATCTGGGAATGCAAATGCAGACCCGCTTCCGTATTTCCTCCCGGTCGCCGTGTTAGGCTTAGTGCTGCTCGGAATCTTCTTCGCCTTGCTTTTCGTATTCATGGAACCGGAAACCTGGTCGGCGTCGCTCTTCTTCCACACCATGACGGCCGTTTTGGGATTGGGCCTATTGGTTCCTTGGCTCTCCCTGCTCACACAGCATCACCCCATCACCTGGTTGATGCATTTCATCACCGAAACCAACACTCGCCTTTGGCTGATCGGATTCTGGGCCGCTTTGTTGCTTCTAGCGGTTGCTGTTGTGATGCATCAAAATAGTCATCGCTCAGCCGGAAGCAAGAAGCACCAAGCTTCGACGAGCGTGCGAAAGTATTTCCACCTCCTCACCGTACTAACCTTCGCTCCTGGACTCGCACTAGATCGTCCTCTGCTACATCTAGCCGCGGTCGGATGCCTCTCAGTGCTTTTGCTCCTCGAATTCGTCCGCTATTTCCACATCCGCCCTCTGGGGGCGCCACTGCGATGCCTTCTTACTTTATTCCTGGATGAGAGAGACTCAGGACCGCTTATTCTCACCCACATCTACCTTCTCCTCGGCGTTGCCCTTCCAGTCTGGCTCACGCCCGCGTCCTGCACCCCTAATGGAGGCCTAGGGGGCGCCGGTGGCCTGGTGCCCTACGCCGGTGTGTTGGCAGTGGGAGTCGGCGATACAGTTGCGTCTGTTTTTGGCAGCACGGTCGGCGAGATCCACTGGCCCGGCACAAAGAAGACCTTCGAGGGCACCGCAACCTCCGTATTCGCTCAGATCATCGCCGTGGTGGTTTTCCTCATCGCCGACAGCAGTATAAACCTGAACGCCAGCTACTCGTGGGTGGTGGGTTCGATCACAATGGTGGCCATGCTGGAGGCGTATACGTCGCAGATAGACAACCTGCTGCTTCCTTTGTACCTTTACATCCTCCTGCTGCTATGAGATCAGACCCGTTCAGACAAATCAGACCATTATGCCAATGCACAGATATCAACAGCATTAAATTCATACGTTACAGCCCTAGTATTGTGAGTTTGGAAAGCAAAATGCAATAATGAAACATCATTAGAATGTTTATGACCCTCGTACAGTGAATAGAAATGCACTTAAATTTATTCAAGAATAAACGTTTCTTATGGTATTGGAGTGAAACAAACTAGAAAACTACTTGATATTGTAAACGACATAAAATGGCACAAAAACAGATGTTTGAAGGTGAAATGTGTATTTTTTTGCACCACAAGTGGCAATTGCAAAATGCTTGATTGAGTTGCACATGACAGCTTTGTTTGAAAACACAGTTTGGTGCCGCTGTTGGCAGCTTTAAAGGGATAGCCCACTCAAAAAAATCATTTACTCTGCCTCATGTCATT